GAGTCAACCTTGAGCCCCGTCAGAATCGAACTGCCGGCAGTGGGAATGCTGAGTTAGCCTGCAATACTGCATTCTCACCACTGCGCCACCATGGCTCTCGTAGTTGGAGGTATTTCCACATGCCCAAATTTCCCCAGGTTAGGAAGCAAGACCCTGTCTGAAATAGCTGGCTTTGAAGTTGTCCGCACTGGCTAAGAATCCTAAGAAGGCTACTACAAAGAATAAGGGAATTACAGAGTTGGGTGGGACCCTTGGAGATCTTCTCGTTCAACCTCCTGCTCAAGCAGAAGACCTTTCATTCTAGACAAGTGGTTGTCCAATCTCTTCTTAAAAACCTCCAGTGTTGGAGCACCCATAACTTCTGGAGGCAAGTTGTTCCACTGGTTAATTGTTCTAAATGTCAGGAAATTTCTCCTTAGTTCCAGGTTGATTAGATTCCATCCATTGTGTTCTGTCCCCGTCTCACACACGCACCCCCACAGACAGGCAACAGTTAAAGTACTCAGCCAACAACAGTTTATCTGGTATCAGAATTGGCAGCAACTCAGTGGCTGGCTGCCAGGTATTCTTTACTCATGAGGGGGGAGTTTCTCCCTTCGTCTGGGAACAAAGCCAATACACAATAATCAACAAAGTCCAGTAAATACAAAAAAGGTCGTCCAATATCCGGTTTTTGCTTGTCACAGAGCTGAACCGGCCACCACACCCTCTTTTATACCCTGTGGGGTGTGGTCCAATGACTCAGCCTAATCCCTGGCACGCCTCTTCTTCTGTTGCACGCGCTTATCTCTGCGACGCTGCCGAGGATCCAGCCAAGACTCATCTCCCTCATTACCATCCACCTGTGGCTGCGTGGACGTGCTTGGCCCGGGCCTAACTCTTGACCTTCGGTGGACACCGAAGGCATTGCCAGAGAGGAGGGTCCTGGAGAGGGAGGCCTTGCCAACTCCTCTCCTTCACTCTCGGAGTCCTCTCTTGCCGATAACACAGGCTCAGGTAACGGAGCCACAACATATTGTTTCTTGTCCGGCCTTCAGGTGCTTTGGAGAATAGCTTGACTCCCTCTTCTTTGTAGCAGCCTCTGAGATATTGGAACGCTGCTGTCATGTCACCTACCCCAGCCCCTCTTTTCACAACACCTAAGACGTGGTTTTCAGATTTTTTTTTTTTTTGCTTTCTTTTATCAGAACAGTTGTTATATAATATTCCAAAAATGGCAAGCACGGCTCATAACGAATTCTTGGATCTTAAACACCAAATGGATTTAAACAAACCATCCAGCCTCTTTGTCAATGAACGATTGTTCCACAAATTGTTATACAGTGCTTTTTTTTTTTCTTTTTTTTTTTTTTTTTTTTTTGGGGGGGGGGAAAAAATCTGCTTCATTTTGTGTTATGCCCGCAGTTAGATCACAGTGTGAGTGGTAATATAAGTACTGTATGTTCTTTTACTTTGATGCTATTTCTGCTGAGCTTCACATGTGGGCGGATTGGAATACACTAACGGGCCCACCTGCTGCACACAGATAAATGTGTCGAACTGGGAACACAAAAATTGAGTTGTCTAGAAATGAAGGATGGAACCTTGGCAACCCCTCGTGCTCTCTGAAAATAAGAAGGAAAAAAAAAAGAAATTAAAGTTTGCCTTGCCACACTATATTTAAGTTTAAAAAAAAAAAAACCTCTTTACTATTTTTCCCAGCGTTGTATTCTCCTGCAGCGGATAAAAGTCTGTCTTAATTGAAAAGAGAATGTAATGTTTTTTAAATATATATATATATTTCATCGTTCTCCCGTTTTATATTAATAAATGTGAATGTTTCCCAAGATGTAGGAAGTGAGCGTACACAAGCATGAAACTCAAAAGGATCGGAACATTTTAGGATTCTGTAAATAAAGGCAAAGAAAGACACTCTAGAGCTGAATTCAGTGCCGGGAGGGGGGTAGCATGGGCTCATCCTCCATGTAATTTCCTTGACAACAGTATGGAAATGTTTGGCCATGGCTGTCTTCTGAGATGGCTTGCAATTTCTTGAGAGGGATTGGGGTAGGTTTTGGAGATCATTCAAGTCATGCTTCGAAAGTGTTCGCTGTGCCCCTCAAAGCCAAATTGCCGCATGGAACAGAACGGAACGGAACGGAACAGAATTGAAATTAATGGAATCGAATGGAACAGAATAGAATAGGAATTAAGAGTAGAGCAGAACAGAACGGAACAGAACAGAATTGAAAATAATGGAATAGAACAGAATGGAATAGAATAGAATAGTAAAGGAATTAGAATAGAGTAAAACAGAACAGAATAGATGGAACAGAACGGAACAGAACAGAATTGAAAATAATGGAATGGAATAGAATAGAACATAATTGAAAATATTGGAATAGAACGGAATGGAATGGAATGGAATGGAATAGGAATTAGAGTAGAGTAGAACAGAAGAGAACAGAATAGACGGAACAGAACAGAATTGAAAATAATGGGATGGAACGGAATGGAACAGAACAGAATAGATGGCACAGAACAGAATTGAAAATAATGAAATAGAACAAAATGGAACAGAACGGAATAGAATAGGAATTAGAGTAGAGCAGAACAGAACATAACAGAACAGAATAGATCGAACAGAACGGAACAGAACAGAACAGAATAGAATAGATGGAACAGAAACAGAATTGAAAATAATGGAATGGAACGGAACAGAATAGAATAGAATAGGAAGTAGAGTAGAGTAGAGTAGAACAGAACAGAATAGATGGAACAGAACGGAACAGAATTGAAAATAATGGGATGGAACGGAATGGAACAGAACAGAATAGGTGGCCCAGAACAGAATTGAAAATAATGGAATAGAACGGAATGGAACAGAACGGAATAGAATAGGAATTAGAGTAGATTAGAACAGAACAGAACAACAGAACATAAACAGAACAAGAATCAACTTGCTGATGGTGGTATGTTTAGGCAGGCCATGGCCATCAATTCCGAAAGTTCTGCTCGCGGATCGAATCTGTAAGCAGCAGTTCAACAACGTGCTTGCGGAAGGGACTCCTGAAAGGAGGTGAATTACGAAAGACTCTTCAGTCTGCCATGCTGCGATGCACAATCAATGCGTGTCCAATTTAATCAGGAAACAGTGTGATCAGAACGTCTGCTGCACTCGTCCCAAGAGCAAAGCGCCAGTTGCTATTTATAGCTCAATGGGTTGAACTGTGAGGTTCCGTTCCCTTCTGGCACGGATGATGTTTGATTTCAAACGTCTGCAAGAAAACCACCAAGCTCAGGAGAAGCACCAAGGACCCCCAGAAGATAATACTTTCCTACGAGTTGTAAAACCAGTCGCAACGTATTTGTATCGGGGGTGAAATCCACTTACCTTCGCTACCGGTTCGCAAATGTGAGCGAGCACGCCTCCTCCACGCATGCGCAGAGGGTCAAAAAAAGAGACTTGATGACATCTGGGTGGGTGGACGGAGCCGCCGGCACTACCGGTTCACTCCGAGCTGGATAGAACCGGCTGCATTTCACCACTGATTTGTGTCCACGTATAACAGGAGCCGATCTTAGTCGGCTCTGCCTTTTCTGTACAGTCCCTTTTTCCTACCCCAAATAATGTCCCAGATGGTAGGGGCAGGACAATCCGCTCTGCCGCACTTCTCAGCTGGGCGAAAAAAGAAGAAATATAAGGTCGGAATAACGCGGGGGCGGGTGGGAGGGCCCAGCTCCCGAAGAAAGAGAACCAGTTCGGTGACGTAATAGCGTCCCGGGCCGAACCTTGCAGTGATACTTGCTTTTTAATGGTGGTGTTCAGATTAAAAAGTAAGCGTGTGGTTGTTTATAGTATCGCTGGAAGTTATCACTGAGCCGTGGTGGCGCAGTGGTTAGAATGCAGTATTGCAGGCTGACTCTGCCGACTGCCAGCAGTTCGATCCTGACCGGTTCAAGGTTGACTCAGCCTTCCATCCTTCCGAGGTTGGTAAAATGAGGACCCAGATTGTTGGGGGGCAAGAGGCTGACTCTGTAAACCGCTTAAAGAGGAATTGTAAAACATTGTGAAGCGGTATATAAGTCTAAGTGCTAGTGCTTCTTCCTTCCTTCCTCCCTCCCTCCCTCCCTCCCTCTCCTTCCTTCCTTCCTTCCTTCCTTCCTTCCTCCCTCCCTCCCTCCCCTCCCTCCCTCCCTCCCTCCCTTCCTTCCTTCCTAGTTTCCTTCCTCTCTTATTCCCTTTCTCATTCTTCTTCCTGGCGGCGCAGTGTGTATTGCAGGCTGACTCTGCCCACTGCCTGGAGTTTGATCCTAACCGGCTTAAGGTTGACTCAGCCTTCCATCCTTCCGAGGTCGATAAAATGAAGACCCAGATTGTTGGGGGGCAAGAGGCTGACTCTGTAAACCGCTTAGAGAGGGATATAAAGCATTGTGAAGCAGTAGTTAAGTCTAAGTGCTATTGCTATTATGGATCCCTTCCAACTCTTATTATTGTTGTTGTTATTGTTATTATTTTAAGATGACAACTCCGAGATTTTTTTGGGGGGGAAGGGCGGGAATTCAAAATTACATTACCATGCTAAATTAGGATTTATTATATAATTTTACAGTTGAATGTTGCTTTGAAATGTATAGTATAAGGGGGATATAATAATATTGTTAGAAAGAAAGGGTCAGCATATGGGGGGTGGAGAAAAAAGGATGGTAAAGTATTATATAATCTGTTATTAATTTGAATTTTATTCTGGAGAAGCCACAGGGGGAGGGGGGGTTAGGGAGGAGGGGGGGGAAAGGGGAAAAAATCTGTATTTGAAAAACTTTTTCAATAAAAAATAAAATAAAAAAAAGATGACAACTCCGATATTTTTGGGGGGGGGAAGGGCGGGAATTCAAAATTACATTACCTAACATTCTTTTTTCCCCCCTCTTCATTCCATTTTGCAAAGGAAGTGAAGTATGTAAAGTCGGTATAAATCCGTCCAGTGAATTAATCGGTTTTTGTCATTTGCTCGCTGCAGCTGTCGACGCAGGGAGAAGCCAGCCAGGTGATCGGACCGTTAACCGAAGGGCAGAGAAGGAACGTGGCGGTCGTGAACTCCCTCTACAAGCTGCACCAGTCTGTTCTGAAAGTAAGTGCCGAGGAGATTTTCGCGACGGGAGAGCTTTAATCGCCAGAGCGCTCCAGACACCTGAAGTGAACCGAGCCACTTCTCAAATCGTTTCTCTGAACATTGGAACGGAGCTCAGTCTTTGCGCAGGTAGTCCTCGACTTACAAACAGCGGTGGATTTCACATATTTTTACCACTGGTTCCCCTCACGCGGGCTCACCTTCTGCACATGTGCCTAGACTTCTGCATGGTCGCTGCGTGCGCACGCCTTCCGTTCATGCCCTTTGTTCACGCGCATTACATCCAGGCGGGTGGGCAGGGGCAGGCCCACCTGCAGTCGCTGCTACCGGTTCGCGCGAACTGGTCTGAACAGGCTGTATACCATCTCTGCTTACGACCAATTGTTTATCTGCCAAAAAAAAAAATATCCAAGGTGGATTCGGTTACAGCCACAAGACTGGTTTAATAATTACCATAATAACTGAAACATTGACAACCACAATGACTTATGACTGGGTGGTGGTTCGCAAGGCGAGGACAACCTGGATTTCACCCGCACTTGACAGAATGAGATACAGTGAATCCTCGACTTACAATTGTTTGTTTAGTGACTGATTAAATTTACAACGGCACCGAAAAAATGGGACAGGACCATTTTTCCCACTTAACAGCTGTTGCATCATCCCCAACGGTCACATGATCAAAAAAATCAGACGCTTAGCAATTGACGGTTACAGTGTCCCGGAAGTCACGCGATCCCCTTTTGCGCCTAGCAAAGTCAACAGGGAAGCCCAATTCACTTTACTAAACTTAACAACTGTAGTCGTCCACTGAAACTGTGGCAAACAAGGTCATCGAATGGGGCCAAGCTCCCCCTTAACAGCTGTCTCACTTAGCAGTGGAAATTTAGGGCTCAATTGCGGTCGTTAAGTCAAAGGACTACCTGTACAGCATCTCTGCGCGGCCTCTTGGAGGAATCGGATTTATTTTTTTATTTTTTTTAAAAAAAATTTAAATTTTATTTCTTATACACATATTGTAAATGTACGTTCTGTTATCCATAATTGATCATACATATATATATATTTTGTAAAGAAAGCATAAAGATAAGGCATTTTGATTACATTCGGGATTGCTCTTCTACCCTTTCTTTTCCCTCATTTTACAACAAACCTTTTTCTCCTTCTTTCCCTTCCCTACCTCCTCTCCTCTCCTCCTCTCCTTCCTCTTCCCTACTTCCCTTTCCTTTCCCCCACTCCTCCCCTCTTTTCCCCCTCTCTAGCCTTCTCTCCTACTCTTTTCCCCTATCCTTTCTTACTCTCCTTTCCCCTTTCTTCCATTCCTCTCTCTCCCTTTCCTCTTCTATCTTACCCGCTACTCCTCTCTCCTTTCTTTCTCCTTCGTTGTCCAATATTTCCCCTATTTGGTATCCGAGCATCCCCCGAAGGAATCGTATTGAGAAGAAGTGAATCGAGCATATTTTTTCTCGTCGGCACAGCTAGTGGATCAGCTGGCTTTTCGTGTCCCGCTTGTAAAATAAAGATTTGCCATACTTGGACCTCACTGCACCGTTTAACGTTGTCCCCCGTATTTTTTCTTAGGTGATCTCCAACCAAAGTGGATTTCCAACCGCTTCGGAGGAAACTGTTCATGCTGCTTTGAAGGTAGGTGTGTATGATAAAGTCAGATTTAAATCTTGCTTTGAACAGCACGCTTCCTTTCTGTCTGGTCCCAACTAACTCGCGGGTCAATGACAAGAGGAAGGAAGGACTTCTTGTGTCGTTTTGAGCTTCTGAATAGAATCACAGGGCTGGGAGGGACTTTGGAGGTCTTCTTCTCCAACCCCCTGCCCTACGCAACAATCCTTATATCACAGGTTCCAATCTGGGTCGGTCAGCGGGACCATAAGGTTTTTGTCTCCTGAACTTTGGGACTCGTGTTGGAGCCCATCTTCAGATGAATCCTTATATCATCCTCTTTTAATGACCCCGTAATCCCTTGCGGGATGGAGTCTGGGCAACTGAATGGAGCTGAGTGTTTACTGCCAGGATGCCCTTCCTGTCGCCAAGGCAGAGTTTTTGTGCACCACAGTTCCGAATGGGAGACCGCTTATTTAACGTAACTGTTAAGGATATTCTTGGCTCATAACCAATGTTGTAGGTTATTGAGCAGAGTGCCTTTCGAGTAAACGCATGAAAAGTGACTGGGAGTGGTTGTGAACAATCACAGTCAACATACAAACACACTGAGTTGTTGTAGTCTTTTACTTTTAGAAAAAGTAAAGCAAAAGTCCAAAAACAATCCAAGTCATACACAGATAAGACGAGAGTTAAAAGATCAATCCAGGGATATTTCAAGTACAAAGTCTTCTTACCAGTTGTAGTCATACACAATAAAACAGCTCTTCTTGAGTTTCAAAACAGGAACAAGTTCAATATCAAAACATTCAATAAATAAATTAGTTAGACAAATAACCATTTCCTAACAGTAACTATACCTTGAAACTTGGAAAGTGTGCAGTTCCTTTCTGACCTGGGTTTTATCCTTGGTTCTGCCTTCCAGACAATCCATGGTTTGATGGGCAGCGCCGTGCAACCTTTGCTGGACTCGGTGGGCGACTCCATAGAAGCTATTATCATGACCATGCATCAGGAGGATTTCTCCGGGTAATTGAGTAACTGCTCCTCTACAGTTTCTACAGGAAGTAAATGGCGTGAAAAATGGAGAGTCTGTTGGTTTTGCGACCCCACACAAAAGAAACATTAATCTAGCTGTATTGCAGCCTATTATGGAAGGCAAGCAGATGTTTGCTGCGGAAACACAGGCAGTGTAACCAACAGAATAACTAGAGTTGGAAGAGGGACCTTGGAGGTCTTCTAGTCCAACCCCCTGCTCAAACAGGAGACCCTATATCCGTGATGGCTAACCTTTTCCAGATTGAGCTCCCAAAGTGCATGCGTGCGCCCGAACCCCCAAAATGCAATGTGCGTGCGGACCCAGCGCATGTTCCCCGCCCCCACGCATGTGCACGTCGCCCCCTGCATGTGCCCCCCAGCATGCACATGCAGCCCCCTGCACGCATCCGCTGCATGCATGTGCACCCCATGCCCCCTGTGCATGCACATGCATCCCCCATGTGCCCCCCCATCCTCCTGCGCATGCTTGTGCGACAGTGGTGGGTTCCCCCCGGTTTGGCCCGGTTCCGCTGAGCCGGTAGCAGTGACGATATGATATCACCGAACTGGTTCTGCCGCCCCCTGCCCACCCTGCATTATTCTTACCTTTTATTTGGCCCCACCCCCAATCTATTGCTGCCTCCTGGGTCCCAGCTGATCGGCTAGAATGAAAAAAACTGTTTAAACTCTTGCGGGGTGTCAAAGGGCCGCCCTACAGCTGATCAGTGTTAAAAGGCAGTGTGGTGGTAGACTGGTGCCTCCAAAAACAAATGAGTAGACCGGTGCCTGCAAAAATAAATGACTAGACCAGTGCCTCCAAAAACGAATGAGTAGACCGGTGCCTACAAAAATAAATGAGTAGACCGGTGCCTACAAAAACAAATCAGTAGACTGGTGCCTGCAAAAATAAATGGAGTAGACCGGTGCCTACAAAAACAAATGAGTAGACCGTGCCTACAAAAATAAATGGGTAGACCGGTGCCTACAAAAACGAATGAGTAGACTGGTGCCTCCAAAAACGAATGAGTAGACCAGTGCCTCCAAAAACAAATGAGTAGACCGGTGCCTACAAAAATAAATGGGTAGACCAGTGCCTACAAAAACAAATCAGTAGACTGGTGCCTGCAAAAATAAATGAGTAGACCGGTGCCTACAAAAACAAATGAGTAGACCGGTGCCTACAAAAATAAATGGGTAGACCGTGCCTACAAAAACGAATGAGTAGACTGGTGCCTCCAAAAACGAATGAGTAGACTGGTGCCTCCAAAAACAAATGAGTACACTGGTGCCTGCAAAAACAAATGAGTAGACCAGTGCCTACAAAAACAAATGAGTAGACCGGTGCCTACAAAAATAAATGGGTAGACCGGTGCCTACAAAAACGAATGAGTAGACTGATGCCTCCAAAAACGAATGAGAGACTGGTGCCTCCAAAAACAAATGAGTACACTGGTGCCTGCAAAAATAAATCAGTAGACTGGTGCCTCCAAAAACAAATGAGTAGACCGGTGCCTGCAAAAATAAATGGATAGACCAGTGCCTCCAAAAATGAATGAGTAGACTGGTGCCTGCAAAAATAAATGGGTAGATCGATGCCTGGAAAAACAAATGGGTAGACCGGTACAGCTCTGCAAGCTGTTAAAAGCCCGTTAGACCAGTACCTCTGCTAAATCCTAAAGAATTGTCACATGACCATCAAGCCACGCCCACAAAAATAAGCCACGCCTACAGAACCGGTAGCAAAAATTTTTTAGAACCCATCCCTGTTGTGCGACCGCCCACATGTGCCCCCTCCCCCCCCGTGTATGCGTGGCAGAGACCCAAAGACCAGCTGAGTGGCGGGAGGCGCCCACACACACACAGCAGAGCTGAACTGGGGCGACAGCTCATGCACCACCTCTAGCACGCATGCCAAAGGTTCGCCATCACGGCCTATATCATTCCAGACAAATGGTTCTCCAATCTCTTCTTAAAAACCTCCGGTGTTGGAGCATTTACAGCTTCTGGAGGCAAGTTGTTCCACTGATTAATTGTTCTCCCTGTCAGGAAATTTCTCCTTAGTTCCAAGTTGCTTCTCTCCTTGATTGGTTTCCACCCATTGCTTCTTGTCCTGCCTTCAGGTGCTTTGGAGAATAGCTTGACTCCCTCTTCTTTGGGGCAGCCCCTGAGATATTGGAAGACTGCTATGCTAATTACTTGTCTCTTTAGAAACTAAAACTGTGTGTTTGTGTGTGTGTGTGTATGAGTGAGTGAGAGTGTGAGAATGTGAGTGGAGGGGCGGATGTGCATATACTCTCTACGAAACCCAAGAAAGAGACTGTTAAAAGCAGGATTCCCTTTGATTATTTCATTTGTAGTATTTTTCGTAGAATCCTTTGCAGGAAAGACTATTGAAATATAGTTTACTCAACTCATTGAAGGAAACCCTTGTTCTGTGATGGGGGGTTTTCCCATGTATTTTCTGAATAGCTTTCACTTCGGATCTTCTTTAGATCTTGCTTAAAGCTAAAGGTTCCCCTCGCACATATGTGCTAGTCGTTCCCGACTCTAGGGGGCGGTGCTCATCTCTGTTTCAAAGCCGAAGAGCCAGCGCTGTCCGAAGATGTCTCCGTGGTCATGTGGCCGGCATGACTCAATGCCAAAGGCGCACACGGAACGCTGTTCCCTTCCCACCAAAGGTGGTCCCTATTTTTCTACTTGCATTTTTTTACGCGCTTTCGAACTGCTAGACAGGCAAAAGCTGGGACAAGACACGGGAGCTCACCCCGTTACGCGGCACTAGGGATTCGAACCGCTGAACTGCCGACCTTTTGATCGACAAGCTCAGCATCTTACCCACTGAGCCACTGCGTTAGCGGTGGGTTTAAAAGATTCAGCAGTGCAATAAATCATTCTTTTCCTCCTCCGCTGTCAGGAAAACCATCCCCCAAAGATTTCAAACGATGTTTTTTTTTAGCTGGATTTTTTTTTAAAAAAGGTCAAAATAAACAAAGGCCCTCAATTTTTTCCTCAAATAGTGACATGTCATAAAATCTTCCTTGTGTTGCTCTTCGAGATGAAAGGGGTTGCAAAGGATGCAGATCTGACTTGGGGCTTTCGGGGAAATTGAACAGGTCGCGCGTAATCCGGGGCTGCGGAATTAGAAAACAATCCTAGGGTTAGGATTTGGAGCCAGGCTAAACTGTCACTCCGGCTCGGGAAACGGTTATTAAAGAATTATCCTGACTGCTGAGCCCTTTAAATTAGGGGTGGATTGAAAGCTTACGGCTTCTGGCTGACGAAAATGCTCTGGAGGTTTGCCGGAAGGAGTTTAGAAAAGGGTTATGGGAATAAATGTTTGTCCTGCCATCGGTCCAGAAACCAAAATTAGATGCTTTACACCAGGGTTCTATTTACTTTTACTACCAGTTCGCAACGGGGCCGTGGGCGCACTCTTCTGTGCATGCGCAGAAGCGTTCTGATGATGTCGGGCTCAGTGAGCGGAGCCTCCCGCCGGTTTTACTACCGTTTCTATAGAACCGGTGCGAACCGGGGGCAACCCCCCACTGCTTTAGACCAGAGGTCTCAAACTCGAGGCCCGCAGGCCGGATCCGGCCTGTGAGGTGCTGAAATCTGGCCCGCGGGTCCAGAAATAGCAAAGGACCGACCCACGGTACCTCTGGCAGCCAAAATGGGGCGCAGGGGAGGGGTGGGTTCTACGTAGCTTTACTACCGGTTCGCAACTCAGATCACCCATGATGATGTCGTGGTGGGTGGGCGGAGCGTCCTTCCGATTTTACTACCGGTTCTATAGAACCGGACCGAACTGGGAGCAACCCACCACTGGCGCAGCAGGGGGGGCCACCCGTTGTCCCCCATGCCCCGTTTTGGCCGGCAAAGTGCCGCAGAAGGCCGCTCAGGCTGAAAATGGGGCACAGAAGGGGGGGAGGGAGTATAATGCTGATCCGGCCCGTGAAGAAATCCAGTTTGCACACCTGCTTTCCGAGAGAACGCCTTATGTAGCTAGTGCCCGACTTACAACAGTTCATTTAGTGACCATTTAGTGAAGCTACAACGGCCTTGGAAAAAGGTAATTGATGACCGTTTTTCACATTATGACCATTGAAGCGTTGCCGTGGTCATGTGATCAAAATTGAGACACTTGGCAACTGGCTCATATTTATGACGGTTGGAGTGTCCTTTTGCGACCTTCCGATAAGCAAAGTCCATGGGGGGTAGTGGGGAAGCCCAGTTTGACACCTGAAGTGATTCACTTAACAACTCCAGTAAGAAAGGCCGTAAAATACTTGTTGGGATAGGTAACATTTGGGAGAGCTTTTAAGGGAATCTGGCTTCCCCATTCAGTTGGCTTGAAAGAAAGTCGCAAAAGGGGGAATCACGTGACACCCCTCCCTCTGGGACACTGCAACCGCCATAAATGTGAGTCAGTGGCCAAGCACCTGAATTTTGATCACGTGACATGGGGGGGGGCAATGCCGGAACAGTTGAAAGTGTGAGAAACTGTCATAAATCCCTTTTCTCGGCTGTGTTGTGACTTCGAACGGTCGCTAAATGAACTGTTGCAAGTCAAGGACTAGCGGCATTAACAAAATTCCAGTGGAAATCAACAGGAAATTAACTGTCATGCCCTGGTCGGAGCCTGAATCAGTGGAGGAGGAAGACAAGATGGAGCTGGGGCTGATGGAGATGGAAGGGGCAGCTTCATTGGCTTGGGAGGAAAATGGGGAGGAGCAGGCCCAGGCAAGCCAGGGCCTTTCAGGATTGGGACGGCTTGTAGGCAGGGAGGAAAGGGGGCAGGATGAGCAAGAGAGGCTAAACAGTGAACAGAGCTCAGGCGATGAGCAAGGACCACCCCTCCTGATCCTCGAGCATGGAGAGTGGAGAGAAGGCGAGAACAGCGCAGACTGAGCCGACTACTTGGGAGGAGAGCGCCCTGCCCCTCTTCACAAAGCACACCTGGGGACTGAGACTTAAGGAGATGCTGGGGAGGGGCATTTGTTGGGAAGAAACGCTGTATTCCTGGAGTGTTGAGTGCCGACGTTTGAACTTTCCTGGATTCCTTGCATTCTTTCTGGATTTCTTGCTTTGCAGCAGTGGTGCTTACAGCGTTGGACTATTTGCAGCCAGAGGCTGCTTGAGGTGTGTTTGTATGTATGATCACTTTGCTCTGGGACATGCCAGAAACGTGGGAGCGTTTGGGGAAATTTGGAACAGTAAAGGGGTGGTTTGAACTGCCAGCCACCTGTGTTATCTCTGTGCCTTGCCCCGGGTCATCACATGAATCTTTTCCTCTTTTTACGTTTGTCGGGCAGGTCCCTGCCTCCTTCGGGAAAGCCGGACGTCCCTTGCTCTCTGTACATGAAGGAGCTGCAGGGGTTCATCTCCAGGATCATGAACGACTATTTCAGGCACTTCGAATGCTACGATTTTGTCTACGAGAGGACCGAAGGCATCGCTCAGAGGGCCATCGAGGTCTTCATCCGCAATGCCAGCCTGCTCCGGCCTCTCGGCGAAGGAGGGAAAATGAGGCTGGCAGCCGACTTCGCACAGGTGAATTCCGCTTGGCTTCCGGTCTATGCTCTGGATTCCAAACAAGATTCGTCGGTTCCATCCAGGGGTTAGGGTTGAGTTAACAGAGTTGGTGGGGGGGGGGACCTTGGACCGTGGCTGACTGAGTGGGCATAGGGACCTTGATGCCACTCATTGGGCATGGCTGACTGGGTGGGCGTCGCCAGTTTGACACCACTCACTGGGCGTGGCCGACTGGGTGGGCGTCGCCAGTTTGACACCATTCACTGGGCGTGGCCAACTGAGTGGGCGTGGCCAGCTTGATGCCACTCACTGGGTGTGGCCAGCTTGACACCACTCACTGGGCGTGGCCAACTGGGTGGGTGTGGCCAGCTTGACGCCACTTCCCAAACTGCTGGCATGTTTCCTCTTTGCATTGGGTAGATCTGGGCTGAAGAATATAGAATATGGAATTTTTTTCCGGTGAAAACTACATATGCAAACATGCATACAAATACAGATTTATACATTTGGGGTTCTCTTTTTTCATTTTCATTTCATTTTCATTTTATTTGATTTATATACCGCCCTACTCCCAAAGGACTCAGGGCGATGAACAGGCACAAGATAAAACACATAGAATACACAAATTTAAGAGCAGAAGTAAAATCGAATTAAATCAATTTAGCCCAAGACAAATTTAAAACCCCAGGTTAAGAACAAATTAAAATTTACATTAAAAAGAGAATGGGAGAGGTTAGGCCAGACCAGCCTGGTGAAATAAAAAGGTCTTGAGAGTGCGGCGGAAGGTGCGCAGATCCGGGATCCTCTGTATCTCCGGGGGGAGCTCGTTCTAGATAGTAGGTGCCCCCACAGAGAAGGCTTTCCCCCTGGGGGCCGCCAGCCGACATTGTTTGGCCGACAGCACCCGGAGGAGTCCCTCTCTGTGAGAGGGTACCAGCCAGTGGGAGGCCGTTTGCGGCAGCAGGCGGTCCCGTAAATAACCAGGCCCTAAGCCATGGAGCGCTCTAAAGATGGTAACCAAAACCTTGAAGCGCACCCGGAAGACCACCGGGAGCCAGTGCAGCTCGCGCAGGAGAGGTGTTACATGGGAGCGCCACGTCGCCCCCATAACCACCCGCGCGGCCGCACTCTGCGCCAGTTGGAGCCTCTTATTGAAACTGTCCGAAGGAAGCAAATTATAAGCAAATTATAACCCCCCAGATACAAAACAAAGATGATTATATTTAAGCACGTAGTAAGCTAAAACTGAAAAGCAATAACTATCATTTATGCCATAATACACGGCTCAGTTTTCACCCTCGGTACAGTATATATTGGCCGGACTAAAAAGATTTCCTCAGGTCGGTGAGATAATTTTAAATGACATTTCCTTGACATTTATATATACTGCGAGGATTATGTAGGAATTGTTGCACCTTATGACCTGTTCATTATGAGGATCTTTGTCGTTGAATAACGACAGCGGCAGTAATTTGGAGCATTTTAAGTTGTGTTAGTTGGGGAATAATATTTTGCCCTTTAAATGCCAGGTGGCTCTGTACGATCAAAAGAAGGAAATGTGAGCCCGATGGAGGCAGAAACAGATGAAGGAAAATCAAAGATTTGTGGTTTTTTCCCCCCTGTTATCTGGCACAAAAAAATACAATCTCCAGGCAGGGGATTTGAATTTAGCCAAGAAAAATATAAACATTCTTTGACTACAAAAAGTAATTTCATCGTTGTTGGCAGGAATGAGAACAGATTCCAGATTTGTCAGAAATGTAATATTTGTTAGACTTGCATCCTGCCTCTTGTACGAACAGCGATAATAATGCTAACAAGCTGAGGAATTGGATGAATTATTTTCCTCGAGGGAGTAGGAAAAAAATACGTAAAGAAAAATGAAAAAGGTTTGGGGATGGAGTTTAAAATATTTTTTTTGTCTAGGGCCAATGAAAGAACTTCTGGTCTTTACTTTTTGTTAAGATTCAGGAAGTCCTCACCTTACAACCGCAATTCGGCCCAGAATTTATGTTGATAAATGAGACATTTGTTCAGTGAGATTTTGCCCCATTTTACGACCTCTCCTGCCTCAGTTGTTAAGTGAATCACTGCCATTGTTAAGACAGTTGGTCCTTGTCGTATGACCACAATTCAGCCCAGAATTTATGTTGCTGAGTGAGATTTATTTGTTAAGTGAGTTTTTGCTCTATTTTACGACCTTTCTTGCCACCGTTGTTAAGTGAATCACTGCAGCTGTTAAGTTAGTAACACAGTTGCTAAGTGAATCCAGCTTCTCCATTGTCTTTGCTTGTCATGAAGGTCGCAAAAGGGGATCACACAACCCCGGTATACTGCAACCCATCATAAATATGGACAAGTTGCCAAATCAATCTGAATCACGTGACTATGGAGATGCTGCAATGGTCATAAGTGTGAAAAATGATCCTAAGTCACATTTTTTGAGTACCATTGCAACTTTGAACGGTCATTAAACGAAATGTTGTAAGTCAAGGACTACCTGTAATAGTAGTTGTTAAGTGAATGGCTTCCACGTTGACTTTGCTATTCAGAAGGGGTCAAATTTGGGCTCAACTGTGGTCGTATATCGAGGACTTCTCAATCTACTTTAATATCTACTCTAGTGTCTACTCTAATAACAGATACTACGGCTCTCGCGTGCAACATTCCAGTCACAACAGAGGTGCGTGTACGTCAGTGGTGAAATCTAAAATTTGTTACTACCGGTTCTGTGGGGCGTGGCTTGGTGGGTGGGGGATAATGTGACTGGGTGGGCGTGGCCAATTTTTTTTTCTTTTAAAACCATTTTTTCTACAACCTCTTTGGCGAAGAGGTTGTAAAAAAATGCTTTCAAAAGGCTCTGATGATCCCAGTTGAGTTGTCTGATCGTCAGAGACTTTTTTTTCTTTTAAAAGCCTCTGACGATCAGGCAACTCGGCTTGGATCGTCAGAGGCATTTAAAAGAAAAAAAGAGTTTTTTTCTTTTAAAAGCCTTTGACGATCCCAGCTGAGCCACGCGATCATCAGAGGCTTTTTTTTTACTTTTAAAAGCATTTTTTCGGCCAAAGGGCAGGGATTTTTGCTACCGGTTCTCCGAACCACCCGCCTCCATCGCTACCGGATCAGGCGATCCGCTCCGAACCGGGAGCATTTCACCCTTGGTGAACGTTTTGTGTGTTTTGTCGCAAAACGGTTTCTTGCAATGCAGCACAAACCCGTAACAGGAGGATGGCTTGAGGCACGGAGACAATCCGAAACTCTGAAAATTGTACCGTTATTTGTTAATAACGGAGCAGATACAGAGACGAAGTTTCGATCATTCCTTTAAAAAAAAAAAGCTTTTAAAAAAAAATGAACATACCGTTGAATTGTTCGTTACGGGGACGTCGTAACGCCAGCGGATAAGAGCTAAATTTTATGCTCAGTTGTCGGTCGCCAGCTGTTAAAAAAGCTGATGTTAGACGTTGTCAAGCTCAACGTGCCACCATAACACAATTTTGTCACACTACGCGTGATAGACTCGTTTATGTCTGGCAAGAACGAAAAAGTGTAAAATTGTTCCAAATGGCCTGGGAATTTCAGCAGAAGAGGTGTCAGATATTTAGCGTGGCACTCTCTGCAAAGTGTACCCTATAGTAGAGCAGGCGTAACAAACTCGATAGGTTTTAATCCACAAATGCACTTCTTATTTCGGATGTTAACGAAAATTTGCTCCGTGTCCCCGAGTGGATCTTGCTTCTGTCGAACTGGCCTGTACTTCGGAGAACTGGCAGAAGAGCTAGGTTTCCCTTTGAGATGGATAAAATCTCTCTACAATTCCCTGTGTGGGAGACCAGTTCTTCTCAATGGACTAGAAACCAGGAGACCGGGAGTTCTAGTCCCACCTTAATCATGAAAGCCAACTGGGTGACTTTGGGCCAATCACTAGGAGATAGGGAATTCTAGTCCTGCCTTATCCATGAAAGCCAGCTCAGTGACTTTGGGCCAATCACTAGGAGATGGGGAGTTCTAGTTCTATAGAATATAGAATTAGAATTATTAAATAGAGTAGAATAGAAAATATGAAATGGAATGGAATGGAATGGAATAGAACAGAGTATAGAATTAAGAATTAGAATTATTAGATAGAATAGAATAGAAAATTGGAATGGAACTGAACGGAACAGAATAGAACAGAATATAGAATTTAGAATTAGAATTATTAGAATAGAATAGAAAATATGGAATGGAATGGAATAGAATGGAATAGAACAGAACAGAATATAGAATTAAGAATTAGAATTATTAGAGTAGGATAGAAAATATGGAATGGAATAGAATATAGAATTAGAATTATTAGACAGAATAGAAAATATGGAATGGAATAGAATATAGAATTAGAATTAAAATTAGAATTATTAGAATAGAATAGAAAATATGGAATGGAATGGAATAGAACAGAATTTAGAATTAGAATTATTAGACAGAATAGAATAGAAAATGTGGAATGGAATAGAACAGAATATAGAATTAAGAATTAGAATTATTAAATAGAGTAGAATAGAAAATATGAAATGGAATGGAATGGAATGGAATAGAACAGAGTATAGAATTAAGAATTAGAATTATTAGATAGAATAGAATAGAAAATTGGAATGGAACTGAACGGAACAGAATAGAACAGAATATAGAATTTAGAATTAGAATTATTAGAATAGAATAGAAAATATGGAATGGAATGGAATAGAATGGAATAGAACAGAACAGAATATAGAATTAAGAATTAGAATTATTAGAGTAGGATAGAAAATATGGAATGGAATAGAATATAGAATTAGAATTATTAGACAGAATAGAAAATATGGAATGGAATAGAATATAGAATTAGAATTAAAATTAGAATTATTAGAATAGAATAGAAAATATGGAATGGAATGGAATAGAACAGAATTTAGAATTAGAATTATTAGACAGAATAGAATAGAAAATGTGGAATGGAATAGAACAGAATATAGAATTAAGAATTAGAATTATTAAATAGAGTAGAATAGAAAATATGAAATGGAATGGAATGGAATGGAATAGAACAGAGTATAGAATTAAGAATTAGAATTATTAGATAGAATAGAATAGAAAATTGGAATGGAACTGAACGGAACAGAATAGAACAGAATATAGAATTTAGAATTAGAATTATTAGAATAGAATAGAAAATATGGAATGGAATGGAATAGAATGGAATAGAACAGAACAGAATATAGAATTAAGAATTAGAATTATTAGAGTAGGATAGAAAATATGGAATGGAATAGAATATAGAATTAGAATTATTAGACAGAATAGAAAATATGGAATGGAATAGAATATAGAATTAGAATTAAAATAGAATTATTAGAATAGAATAGAAAATATGGAATGGAATGGAATAGAACAGAATTTAGAATTAGAATTATTAGACAGAATAGAATAGAAAATGTGGATGGAATAGAACAGAATATAGAATTAAGAATTAGAATTATTAGAGTAGAAGAGAAAATATGGAATGGAATGGAATAGAATTTAGAATTTAGAATTAGAATTATTAGACAGAATAGAATAGAAAATTGGAATGGAATAGAACAGAATATGGAATTTAGAATTAGAATTATTAGACAGAATAGAATAGAAAATATGGAATGGAATAGAACAGAATATAGAATTTAGAATTAGAATTAGAATTATTAAATAGAATAGAATAGAAAATATGGAATGGAATGGAACAGAATAGAACAGAATATAGAATAGAATAAGACAGAAAAGAACAGAATAGAATTCTTTATTGGCCAAGTGTGATTGGACACACGCAAGGAATAAGTGATAATTCATGATCATAGTCCTCGTAAAAATGCCTTCATCGACATAAACCATATCATAAATGTATGACGTATAAATATTGTAAATCATATTAGCAGATGAAAGCCGAACGATTTCCTCTTGCAGATGGAGTTGGCCGTGGCCCCCCTTTGCAGACGTGTCTCTGACCTGGGGAAATCCTACAAACTCTTAAGATCATTCAGGTAAGGGATGTTTCAACAGTTGAGACTGTGATTCAGTTGTTTTCGTTAACGGGAAAAAAAAATCACTGGCTTCTCACTTTTTGGAGGCTTTAATTAAAATCCTCTGGCAAGCATCACATGTAAATTAGCAACCAATTATCTTTGATTTCCCTCCTTTCGGGTTTTATTCAGCCTGTGACTAAAACACGGAGAAATTCTGCCGTGCAAGTTGTCAGCTCAGCTGTATCTTTTTCCGCTTTTATTTTTATTTAATTTTTAAAAAAATTCGGCTCTTGCGATAATGAGCTGCTGCCTCCCTCCCTCCCTCCTTTTTCTTCCCTCTCGGAAGCCGAGAATTTATAACGGGGTGGCAGAGGAGGGCTTAATTAAAATAATGAGCTGTTATTGCAAACAATCACCCACCCCTTTTGAAAACAGAGGGTGTATGAAATCCCGCCCAAGCGAATTAGCAAAGGGTGGCATGCTGTGTTTGCTATTAGTTAAGTGTCATTAAGGGCAAAAGTCACACTCTGGAAACAGATGATCATCGGTAGAACCTTCTAGAATGGGGGGGGTCAAACTTGATTTCGTTGAGGGCCGGGTTGTTTTTGACCTCGGGGGGCAGGGGCATGGCCAAGGTAGGCATGGCCAGCTCCATGTCACTCATCAAGGCTCCGTGTTTGGCCACGGCGGCCTCTTGGAGCCCTCTGCCAGTGCGGGCGCAGTGGTGGGATTCAGCCGGTTCTGTCCGGTTCGAGCAAACCGGTAGTGGTGACTGCAGGATGCTCTGCCCACCTGCCCGGATGTAATGCGCGAGCACTATGCACGCGTTCACATTTGCAAACCGGTAGGGAAGGTAAATGAATCCTACCTCTGGCGGGTGGCCCTCCCGAGCTCCGTTTATGCTGGCAGAGGCACTACGGGCTGGTCCTTCACTGTTTCCAGGGCAGCCACGCAGGCCAGATCTAAGCACCCCGCAGACCAAATTCGGCCCGCGGGTCTTGAGTTTGATACCCCTGATATAGGGTCTCTTACTTCAGCAGGTGGTTGGACTAGAAGACTCCCAAGGTCCCTTCTTACTCAATGAGTCTATGCCTGCGATGGCGAACCTATGGCATGCATGTCACAGGTGGCATGCAAAGCCATATCTGTGGGCACGCGAGTGTTGCCCTAGCTCAGCTCCAGTGCATGTGCGCATACCGGCCAACTGATTTTCAGGCCTTCCGGGCCCACCGGAAGTCAGAAAATGGGCTGTTTCTGGCCTCCGGAGGGCATCCGGGGAGGTGGAAAAGGCCGTTTTTGCCCTCCCAAGGCTCCTAGAAAGGCTCTGGAGCCTGGGAAGGTGAAAAATGGGCCTTACAGTCCCACCGGAAATTAGGAAATGGTGGTTTCCGGCCTCTGGAGGGCTTCCGGGGGGGTGGGGAAGGCCATTTTGCCCTCCCCAGGCCCACTGTCCCATCGTGTCCCAAAAGTGGGGGGAGCACGGGTGGTGGTGGTCACATGCATGGGGGGCAGGGCGCATTGAATTATGGATGTGGGCACGCGTGTGCGTGACTCCCCGCACTCCCCCGCTTTTGGCACACGACGCCAAAAAGGTTAGCCGTCACTGGTCTATGCTGTAGAGTTGTGGAAACTAAACTTAGCTTCTACAGAATAGAATAACAGAGTTGGAAGGGACCTTGGAGGTCTTCTAGAATGGGCCCCCTGCGGCCCAGCTCTACGGTAACGCCGCCATCCACCACGATCAGCCTTCTGCTACTCAGGTGTTCCAAAGTCTCCATGTTCTGATCTCTTTCCACCGTCATGCTTCCTCCTCCCTCAGACCAATGCTCTTCCAGACCAGCGAGCATATCTCCAACAGCCCAGCGGTGGGAGACATCATTCCATACAGCACCGTCATCCAGTTCTTATTCACGAGGGCGCCACCCGAATTGAAATCCCCGTTCCAGGTAATGAGAGGATGTAAACTTTTTCTACAAAATGCAGGCAGTCCTCGACTTACCACCGCAACCGAGCCCGGAATGTTTGTTGCGAAGCGAGACATTTGTGAAGTGAGTTTGGCCCCGTTGTACGACCTTTTGAGCCACCGTTTTCGAGTGAATCCCTTTGTTCAGTTAGCGACGCGGTTGTTAAGTGAATCTGGCTTTCCCCCCTTGTCTTTGCTGGTCCGAAGGTCGCAAAAGGGGATCATGCGATCCGGGGACGCTGCAACCGTCATGAGTCAGATGCCAAGCGCCCGAATTTTGATCATGTGACTGTGAGGATACTGCAACGGTTGTAAGCGTGAAAAACGGTCGTAAGTCACTTCTTTTCAGTGCCGTTGTAAGTCAAGGACTACCTGTGTGACACCAATGTGGGGAGACCCGTTTCTCTCCATCTGTGTGCTCAATGCTAGTTTGCGTTCGACGGAGAAGTTCCCAATACAGGTAGTCCTCGGTTTACAACGGTTTGCTTAGTGACTGTTTGAAGTTACAATGGCATTGAAAAAAGCGACATAGGACTGTTTCTCACACTTACGACCGTTGCAGCATCCCCATGGTCATTCGATCAAAATTCAGATGCCTGGCAACTGACTCATATTTATGACTGTTTTGCAGTGTTCCAGGATCAAGTGATTCCCTTTTGTGACCTACTGACAACCAAAGTCAACAGGAAAGTCGGATTCATTTAACAACCGCCTTACTAATATATCACCTGCAGTGATTCACTTAACAACCGAGGGGGAGAAAGGTTGCAAAATGGGGGCAAAACTCACTACACCCGTGTCTCGCTGAACCCCAGAAATTTGGCATTCCAGGGTGGTCGTAAGTCGAGGCCTGCTTGTATTATGGGACGAGCGACTTGAGCGCATGAAGGAGCAAGCCGCTGTGCAAAGTGCAAAATGAAAAATTCAGTCACTTCCTGCTCCGTTTCAATTTCCAACAGTAGAATATTCCTGATATGTTAATGTGGGATGTTCAAAGTGGCCTTTTTGGGTTTTTTTTTTACATCGTTACGATGGCAAGTTCAGAAATAAGGAGAATAAATCCTGAATATGGAATAAGGCCATCAGGAACCATTGATTCGCCGTTTGGAAAGACAATTGTGTTACGCTGTGGCAGCAAAAAAAACCCACAGAAAGCCTTAAGGTACCTTACAGGAGTGATGGATAAATCTTTTTGCCATCGCGTGCCAGGAGCGGGGGGAGCGTTTGGGGGGGGGGTCACGCGCGTGTGCCCACACTCATAATTTTATGGCCAAGTAGGACCGTTTTTCTCTCTCCCCAGACTCCAGAGCCTTCCTAGGCGTCTGGGGAGGGCAGAAACAGCCTTCCCCACCCTCCCGGAAGCCCTCTGGAGGCCAGAAACAGCCCGTTTGCTAACTTCCACTGGGACCGGAAGGCCCGTTTTTTTGCTCTCCCCAGCCTCCAGAGCCTTCCTAGGCGTCTGGGGAGGGCAGAAACAGCCTTCCCCACCCTCCTGGAAGCCCTCTGGAGGCCAGAAACAGCCCGTTTGCCAACTTCCAGTGGGACCGGAAGGCCCGTTTTTTGCTCTCCCCAGCCTCCAGAGCCTTCCTAGGCGTCTGGGGAGGGCAGAAACAGCCTTCCCCACCCTCCCAGAAGCCCTCTGGAGGCCAGAAACGGCCCCGTTGCTAACTTCCAGTGGGACCGGAAGGCCCGTTTTTTGCTCTCCCCAGCCTCCAGAGCCTTTTTAGGAGTCTGGGGAGGGCGAAAATGGCCTTCCTCACCCCCCTGGAGGCCCTCCTGAGGCCAGAAACGGCCCGTTTGCCAACTTCCGGTGGGCCCAGAAGGCCTGAAAATCAGCTGGCGCCAGAGCTGAGCTCTCATGCCCACCGATATGGGTACGTGTGCCATAGGTTGCCATCACGGCTATAAACCAATAAAAAGACAGCAAAAAATGGGCCTTCCGTGGGACAATGTTTGTATTTAAAGCTGCATTACAACCAGTTCTTCACTCGAGACCAATGTTTCTCACTCCTGGGCAACTTGAAAGACGGGTGGACTTCAACTCCCAGAATTCCCCAGCCAGGGGAATTCTGGGAGTTGAAGTCCACCCATCTTCCAGTACTACTATCACAATACAATATATTATTTGACATCTCCTCAAAAGTTTTTCTCAAAATAGATTCGTGCTTTGGTTACTATGATTTGATAGTAGGATCCGTCGCGCATTTGTGTCAATAATAAGCATTTTGAATTTTATTATTTATTATTATTTTATTTATTAATTATAGAGGGCGGACTGGACCATTGCCCGCTACTCGCGGTGGTTAGATGACCATCCGGCAGAGAAAGAACGACTCATTTTAATACGGTCAGACATATTTTAAATCTTGGGGTTAATTTAGGGATATTTCAGAGTTTCATTTCTGATAACTCTCTTCATCTTCCTTGCCTATTCTGGATAGATCAGACTAGGAAGATAAGATTGGTGTACATTTTAAACCAAACTTGCTGGAAATACAATGGCTTTCTGTGAAGAATTAATAATAGCTACATTGATATGATTTGATTGCATATTTGTACCCTATGATTATCATTGTACACTGAGAGCATATGCACTGAAGACAAATTCCTTGGGTGTCCAATCACACTTGGCCCATAAAGAATTCTACTCTACTCTACTCTACTCTACTCTACTCTACTCTACTCTACTCTACTCTACCTCTACCTCTACCTCTACCTCTACCTCTACCTCTACCTCTACCTCTACCTCTACCTCTACTCTATTCTACTCTACCTCTACGGTACTCTACTCTACCTCTATTCTACTCTACTCTACTCTACTCTACTCTACTCTACAGAACCAATTTCTTTGAAAGCTACAGTATTGTTAGTTTTATAATAATGGGGAAAAAAAGTTTAATTCCAGTATATTTTCTCTTTAAGCAGGGGTGCCCTGGAAGCGTATGTCCAATCTGTAAGAAGCAGAGAAGGTAAAGAATTTGCCCCGGTCTATCCCGTAATGGTGCAGCTGCTGCAGAAAGCATTGGCTTCTCTTCAATAAATGGTTTTTCTGCAAAACGCTGGAAGCCCCTGATCAATACGTAGGGTAGACTTCCAGAGTTCCTACGAGTAGCAGTTCTCTCAAACTGGCTCAACAATCCACAGCCTCTTTTGACCTTCGTCCTCCAATGCATTCTGCATCCCTCAGCTTTTTTTTTCCAAATGGTATTTTTATATTTTACTGTTTTAATTGAAAAATCAAACATTTCTATTCGAAAAGGCTTTATTTCTGCGTTGGTAAAACAAGCTAATCCTAAATCGACCAGAAAAAAAATACGCTGGGATTTAATATTTTCTTTTCCGCAACTGTTCGAATTTAAAAATATCACTCACACACACACACACACACACACACACACAGACGTGTGTATATATTATATACATACATACATACAATGTGTATATATACATTTATATGTAGGTCTTTGGTTATTCGGGTTTTCTCCCGCGTAAAATTGGAAGTGTCTTGGCGACGTTTCGACGAAAGTTTTTGGAGCCGAGAACACCAGCCTGAAGATGATGAATGAGACTTCGTCGTAACGTCGCCAAGACACTTCCAATTTCACGCGGGAGAAAACCCGTATAACCAAAGACCTACATACAAACACCCGCGAAAACCTCAGAAAACAAATACATTTATATGTGTGTGTATATATATATGTATGTATGTATGTATATACATACATAATATAATCTATACACACACACATATACATATTTTATGTTGATTTATGAAATATTTCAGATTACGACAGTGTAATGTTGTATGTACAATGTTCTAATTGGAAATGTAATTAAAATATTTCTACCAGTCCTTGTTTTCAAGCATTCCTTCAATTAGGCAATCAGTAATATCAATTCACAAGACTGTATTGTGATACTTCATATATTTTATATAATATGAGAAAATATACAAGAATAATTTTTTACAATTTATTTTGAAATAATACAAGAATACAGTGTGCAAAATCATAGGAGCAACATGTAAGAGACGTACATATCAGGTGCTGAAATTTCTTGTGATTTCTTGACAGAAACACACTATTTAGTAATATTAAAAGCTATGTTGTAAATGTTCACAGCAAAAGTAGCCATTAATCGAATATATATCTGCTCTATTTTTTAGATAGATGGAGGGGGGAGAAGTAAAGTGCAAATATTGCACCGAAAATAAGTGCAAGGTTTGTCCCCACCATAAATGACGTCTTATGGCAAAATAAAATCTTTTTAAAATACGCAGCATAGGGGAAAAAAAAAATTAACATTAAATGAAAAGTATTGTGAAAGCACCATTCCTCTTGAACAATGCAATCTGCTTGCAGGTTTCATCTTTTCCAATGCAGCTCAGGCTTCTCAGCAGCCGCCTATTTTACGAGGGAAGGTGTATCACACCCAAAATATAAATTATAAAGGTGACACCTTCCCGTATAGACATTTTGCTACATATAGTGTACGTTATACTATTCGCTTTGCCACGCATTCTGGTATTTTTGTTGGCACCGGGCAAACTAGAAGTCCATTATAATTATATGTCAGAAAATTCCAGCTTGCAAAAAATGGTAGTTTTAATTACATAGTTTGTGCAATACGTATTAATCAGCAATAAGAATTGTTCTATAAACAGATGTTACATTTTGTTTTAAACTTCCCCTTTTTTGTGCATTTTTTTTTCCTTAGAAAATAAAACATTTTATACAAAGCTCCTCGCTTCTTCCTACTATTCCTTAGCACCACAGGATATCCATGTTCAAGCCTATTACACCTGATAGACATATAATGTAGTTTGGAAGGGGAAAAAAAAATATATAAGGCAATTTGGTTTTTTTTGTTTGTTTTTAAATGTTGATACTTTTAGCTTGCTTAATGCTCTACCGTAATAAGCAAAACTTCATTCCTAGTGACTCCAATGATGCCAGTGTATTATAGTCACACCGCCACAACAAATCACGAAACCTTGATCGTGTCTTCCCATCACCGTGGATTGATTAGAATTCCATCTGGATGCTACTGCGAGCCCTGGGAAGGAAGACAAAATGAGAAACACCCGTTAAAAGACCAGGGGAAATTTGGTCGTGGAAATATGAATTAAATTACGTGTTCTGGGTTCAACTTTCTTACAGCCAAAAACATGAAGCGGACGTAAAGAACACGCTGCAGGTTTGGCTCTTAGTAAATCGCAGGTCGTCCTCGACTTACAACCGCGATGAAGCCCAACATTTCTGTCCCTGAGCGAGAGAGCTGTTCAGTGGTTTTGGCCCCGTTTTACGACCTCTCTTGCCACAGTTGTTCAGTGAATCGCTGCAGGGCGATTAAAGTTAGTTCAGTGAATCTGGTTTCCCAGTTGACTTTGCTTGTCGGAAAATTCGCAAAAGGGGGGGTCAGGTATCACGTGACCCCCCCCTCCCGGGGATGGTGGGACCGTCATAAATGTGAGTCAGTTTCCAAGTGTCCAATTTTGATCATGTGTCCACGGGGGAAGCTGCAGTGGTCATATGTGTGAAAAACGGTCATAAGTCACTTTTTTTTCAGTGCCGTTGTAACTTTGAGTGATCACTAAACGAACAAGGACTACATGTATTTTAAACAATATGCATGATTCATGCCAATTCTGGCAGGGTTGAAAAGTCAGGTTTTACCTATATTTGTTAAACATACAAACGCATAAAAATTAGTTATCTTCTAGATTATTCATGTGCTTTGAGAGATTGGAATTTGGTGAGGTAAATTTTGGAATTTAATCAGCATATTTTTTAAAAAAAAAATATGCTTATTAAATTAAAGAAAACCAATAAAACACAGAATAAAAAACTTGCACTCCAGTGGACTGGATACCTGCAGCATTTCAGACTATGACGACTGTTCTCTATAAGGGAGCCAAAACTTTCAATCGGGTGGAGGTAAGAGGTGAAATTTCAACTACAGGTAGTCCTGGATTTACATCAGTTCACTTAGTGACCATTTGAAGTTACAACAGCACTGGAAAAAAGCGACTTATGACCATTTTTCACACTTATGACCACTGCAGCACCCCCGTGATCATGTGATTCAGACACTTGATGACTCAGTTATGACGGCTGCAATGTCCTGGGGTGGGGGGTGTCATGTGATCCCCTTTTGCGACCTTCTGACAAGCAAAGTCAAGGGGGGAGGCCAGATTCACTTAACAACCATGTTGCTGATTGTTAGTGCAGGGATTCACTTAACCAACGTCGTAATAGGGGGCAAAATTCACTTCACAAATTTCTCACTTAGCAACATCGATTGTGGTTTCAAGTTGAGGGCTATCCTGTATTTATAAGCACCTCCTTGGATTTGGGTCGAATTAAAGCAACAGCTGCAAGTGGACTGACCAATTATGTTTACTCTCCTTTTTTTTAGCAACAGAGAAAACTCAACTTTTTTTCTCAGTGTCACCTTTAAGAGAAATATAGGCTGTTGGCCTCGGTGGATTAAAAAGCCACTATCTATTTAAGTGTGGCGGCAACTTAAATCCACAGGGACTCTAATTTTACCTTTTTGATATATTTAAGTGTGTGTGTATATGTGGGGGGGGGGGTGAGCCAAGGAAGTGAACTTAACTCTCATCCTGCTGAACGACTGCCTCGTCAGAAGTCTGAACTAGCTGTGTCTCTTGACCAAATGTTGGCTTGCGGGCTTTCTTGCCGCCTTCTAGAAACTACAATTAAAAATTAAGCGCAGCAAGGATTAGACTAGATTCTGGAGTGGTCCATTATCTACTCCTTGTGTATTCTGGAATAACCCTAACGGTGTTACTCTTTCTCTGGGACCATAAAGTTAAACTGGATCCCCTTGAACAGAGAAGGGGGTCTCCTTCTAGATCTGGACATTTCATTGGAAATTCCGCTGGATTTTTATTAACAGATTCTTCTACAACAGTAGCCCCCATCCTTTTGGGCGCCAGGGACCGGTTCTGTAGAAAGAGGTTTTTCCGCGGACTGGAGGGGGTGTGGTTTCACGTGGTTCCTGCATCCCGCGGATGGGGCTTCGTTTGCGCGGACAGGTTGCTGGCATGCTGGTCCACAAACTGGGGGACGTTGGGGACCCCTGTTCTACAATACTCTTAAGGACCAAGAGATCTAGGAAATGGCAAAAGTGGTAAGACCACGTACTGAATTTGTTCGTTTCCGTTTCCAGCAATCGGGATTCAAACGTTTTTGTTCTTCAGCCAAGGCCTTGGCTTCTAACGTGTACATCCGCCTTTCCTCGTTTTTCATTTTCTTCCACCTGTCACCGAGTATCACACTTATGGCTCTGCAGGAGAAACAGATGCGGAGAAGAAGGGTCAAGTCAAGCCAGCAGGAGAAGGTTAATTTCCCTATTTCCTTGTGTGTGTGTGTTTGTGTTGCCCTGAGTCTTCGGAGAGGGGCGGCATACAAATTGAATTAATAAATTGAATTTAATAAATATGTGGAGAATAGATCCAGGAAAGACTTCAGCACTTATTTCTATCCTTGGCATGTTTTTTAAAAACTATTCCACAATACCCTTAGCGTAAGCAGTAGTTGCAAAACTCTTTAATTTTCGGACTTGGCGTTTTCAGTGGTATTTCTAGGATTATTTTTTTAAAGCCTTAACAAAGCTGAAGAGATGTTTTTCGGGAACACTGTACACTTGTCAACATCAGTGCTGAGTTGGAATATGAAGGTAGTCCTCAACTTACAACGGTTCGTTCGAAGTTACAACGGTACTGAAAAAAGTGACTTATGACCATTTTTCACACTTACGACTGTTGCAGCTTCCCTGTGGGTCATGTGATCGAAATTCAGACACTCGGGCAACTGACTCATATTTATGACGATCCCCTTTTCCAAATTTCTGACAAGCAAAGTCGGTGGGGTAGCCAGATTAATTTAACAACCGAGTTACTGATTTACGGCATTTTATGACCTTTCTTGCCACGGTTGTTAAGTGAATCGCTGCGGCTTTTACATTATTAACACGGTCACTCAATGAATCTGCCTTTCCCCCATTGACTTTGCTTATCAGAAGGTTGCAAAAGAGGATCACCTGACACCCCCCCCAGAACACTGCAACCGTCACAAGTATGAGTCAGTTGCCAAGCATCTGAATTTTGATCACATGACCCTGGGGCTGCTATAAGTGCGAAAAATGATCATAAGTCATTTTTTTCACTGCCGTTGTAACTTCGGTCATTAAACGAACTGTTGTAAGTCAAAGACTACCTGTACTATTTCTCAGATTTTTTTATTTTAATAGAGTTAATCTAAAATCTACCACTGGCTTCTATTATAACGCCCTCCCTAAAATGTTCGGCGCCATTAAATTATAAATTCCAAGCTAAGCATGTAAGCCGGTGTAAATTGCAAACTGAAAGTACGTATTCTGCAGCCTAAAATATGGTTTTTAATTGAAAACCCAAAGGCAATGAATATTTGATTTCATCAACAGCTGGGGTGAACATACATCGTATAGATATCAAAATTCGGAGGCTCTTTACCTGTTATCTTTTCCTGGGTACATCTGAGTATATTCTACTCGGTATTTTTTGGCAAAAAGCATGAAGGCATTCATTGGTCTTTTGCATTTGTTGGGAGAAGTGGCACTAACAGTACTTGCAGTCCCTGAGTGGTGGTTTTTGCCGGATTTGCTGTACATGGAGGCAGTCTGTGTGGATTGGGTGGGCCCACAGTCGGATCTTTCAAAGTCTGGGCTCCCGGAGCCCCCGCAGGATAGAGAAGCCCGCCGCTGACGAGCCATACTGCTTAACACGTAGACCGCGGAGGAGTCCATGGGTGTAAAGTCGTAACTGAAAAGAAAGGTCGCTTTAGAAACGAATTCTGGGCTTGCCCTCAAATAGTATCCTAATAGTGTTATCAATAGATGAGAATAATTTGTATCTCGGGGTTGAACTGCGGGGAGTCCTTGGGGCTCTCTGGGCTTGGTGGTTTGCTTGCAGATGTTTCGTGACCCAACTAGGTAGCATCGTCAGTGCTGGATGGGAGTAGGGTTTGCAGAGTGCAGAAAGAGGAGGAGGAGGAGGGAGAGGTCTGTAGGGTCCTTGGTGCTCCCTGAGCTTGGTTGTTTTCTTGTAGACATTTCATGACCCGACTAGGTAATATCATCAGTGCTAGATGGGAGTGGGGTTTGGTCTCTAGTAGCTTGCCCTGTCAGTGGTGGGAGTATTCCTAGCAGACTGATTGTATATAAACTGAGAGTCCACTCCCTTATAACCCAGATGATGTTACCCAGCTGGGTAATGAAACGTCTGTAAGAAAACCAGCAAGCTCAGAGAGCATCAAGGACCCCATACATAACAATATCGATTTACTACTCATGCTAGTCTTTTAAGTGAAAGATTAGCTCATTTTTGTTATGTTAACCCATTTTGTTACCATGGAACCTAGCATCATAAAAAAAAAAAGGTGAATGACTTTAGCGTCTGATTAAATAAGCTTAAAATTAATCCTATTCTACTTTCAGAACTATAGCCGAAGAACTAAATAACATTTGCAGGAATTACTTTAAACGTGGGCTTCCAACTTAAGAGAATCTGTTTTCACAGCCTAGAACTGGTAGCCTTCCACCCTCTAGTGGAAGATACGTAAAGCTAGATTTTTCTTTTCTTTTTTTAAATAGATCTTTATTAATTATTTACAGATAAAAAAACATATAGTGTAATTTTTGAATAAATATAAGTTATATATGGGTATACAACACA